AAATGCCATTGTCAAACTTCTAGGCTTACAGGAAGGCAGCACTGAACGTCTGACTTACACGTTTTCGCGATGAAAACGTCAGCCGCAACCTCTCTTTTGTTTTTATATTTATTCCATGATCATTTTCTATTCTATTTTAATGTTCTATTTTTCTGTAACTGATGAAGATCATTTAAAACGATTGAAAACGTTTTTATTATATTAAATTTTTGCTGGATTGACAAAGGTGTAATTTTTAACTTAGCATGAATCATCATCATCATTTCTTCTAGCGTGAAATGAACCAATCTGAAATGCAAATTCGATTTGCAGAAAACAAAAAAATTGAAAAAAATATGTTTCATAAACTGCCAAATGATATGCCAAATTGTTGGGCTACGTAAAGGCTATAATTAAATATTAGAAATTAATTAATTTGACTAGCGGTAGGCAGTTATGCTTCCATCTCATATTAAATTTAATAATTATAAATAATTAATTTTTAATTTAGACATTTCTAAAATTTAATTTAGAATTGGTCATTAAATTTAATACAAGATGGCAACATAACTGCCTACCTCTAANTACATACAACCACTTTTTAATGTTGTTAGTGTTGAGTTTTGTATCTGCTTATTGGTTGTTTAATGTGTTGCTTTGTATATTTTTGTTTTTGCCCATTCATATGGGCTTCTGCATTGTATTACTAAATAAATAAATATGTATAACTTGCATGTAGCTTATTCAAATAATGAATTTCTTTTTTTGAAACTTTTTTTTTATATATTTGTTAAATGAGTAATTAGAACATTCTATGGTATATGCAAGACAACAGGATGTCAATGTCCAATGGGATCAGGCAGCTATTATCAAAACAACAACGAATAGACACACAGTGAAACAGCTTGAGAAATTGGAAATATACAAGGTACACTTGAGAACTAATTGTATAAACCACAGAGGTGCGGATGTATTATCTACCGCTTGGAGATCATTTTACAATAATTAATAATACTAAGGCGATATTATATATTGTATTTATACTTTTTCCTTATTTATGATATTTTATTTATCCATATTTAATTCACAAGGACATCTTCCGTTAATTATTAGAGAGGTTCCAGCCAACGTTTTCGTTGTGAAAATGTGTACGTTGACGTTCAGCACCGCTTTCCTGTAAGCCTAGAAGTTTGAAAATGGCGTTTGGAACATTAGTGGAATCATGCTCAACGTATCAAATGCCATTGTCAAACTTCTAGGCTTACAGGAAGGCAGCACTGAACGTCTGACTTACACGTTTTCGCGATGAAAACGTCAGCCGCAACCTCTCTTTTGTTTTTATATTTATTCCATGATCATTTTCTATTCTATTTTAATGTTCTATTTTTCTGTAACTGATGAAGATCATTTAAAACGATTGAAAACGTTTTTATTATATTAAATTTTTGCTGGATTGACAAAGGTGTAATTTTTAACTTAGCATGAATCATCATCATCATTTCTTCTAGCGTGAAATGAACCAATCTGAAATGCAAATTCGATTTGCAGAAAACAAAAAAATTGAAAAAAATATGTTTCATAAACTGCCAAATGATATGCCAAATTGTTGGGCTACGTAAAGGCTATAATTAAATATTAGAAATTAATTAATTTGACTAGCGGTAGGCAGTTATGCTTCCATCTCATATTAAATTTAATAATTATAAATAATTAATTTTTAATTTAGACATTTCTAAAATTTAATTTAGAATTGGTCATTAAATTTAATACAAGATGGCAACATAACTGCCTACCTCTAGTCAAATTAATCAATTTTTAATATTTAATTATAGCCTTTACATAGCCAAACAGTTTGGCATATTGTTTGGCATGTTTATTATATAATGAGCTATGGTTGTTGATGTTTATACGTAATATGTTTGAACACAAGTTTGGAAAAATGTGTGATCACAAGCGACACTAAGATGCTATCAGAATGAGTGCTAAACTCAGACTGATGTAGCATGCTCACTGTCTGGGACTTTTCCTCTCCTCTTCACTCATTGTGCGAAACTTCACTCATTAAGTGAGTCATTTTTTTACAATTTGTTTTGCTCATTATGCGAGATTCCACTGTCTCTTTTCTCTTATATTGAAATATCTGTGATACGTTACAAAAGTACTTAATAATATGGTGTGTAATATAAAAAAAAAGAAAAATGGAATGTTGTAACAAGTTGGGAGGTGGAGTGTGAAGCAATGTGGCACCTACCAACTAAATCTTTGTTAAATTGTGGAAGGAGAATGGAGAAAACAAACATAGCCTCCTGAATTTTCAGAGTTGCATTCAATGCTAGGATTAGCAATTATTTAGATTTGCATACAAGCAGTCTTGGACATCTTAACAATTCAATTTTGTGCATAACACTTTACCCCTAAATTGTTCTTTTACATGCAAAATTTAGACCTTTGTACATTTCAACCAATAAACAAAATTTGACGTGTCACGTGATAATTCTTTTTTACAAGTCTTGGTTTCGGCAACAGCAGAAACATATCCAAAAACAAATTTTTGTTGTCCATTTTCTGTTTGTTTAAAATGCTAAAATTATAAATTAATGTTTTATACATTATGTTATATTTACTGTAAACGAGCAATATTTATTGTGACATGGTCACAATGCCAGGCTGCAATTTTTAATCATATTTTTAATTAATTTCATTGAAAATATATGCTCTCCACCTCAAATTAGTAGTGACTTGCCTCCATACATCATACTTTTCCTTTAACAATAGAGTTGTGCCGGTCATCTGTCTAACACCTTTAGGGGGGAGGGAATTTTTGAATCTAAATAATATGACTTTCAGTTTGCATCAGAAGTTTGTATATATGTAATTGGGACCTCCTGCTCCTAAAGTTTTTGTATCTGCTCTCATCTTTCATCTATCTAACTCCATTCTTGAGATTGAGGAAAGATGGACTGACGGACAAATGACAGTGGGAATTATGCATTTATTCATAATTACTATTTGATAGGAGTAGCAAATAGTAATTATGAATAAATGCATTTCTCTGATTTCAGTTCAAAACATTTACTAGATTATCAGAATACAGAAATAGTTTAAAAATAAGAAAAAATTGTATTAAAATTCAATGATTATTTGGTTTACAGAATTTATTAATCGCACATGTGATTATTATTATAAAGAGATGATGGTTAAGTTCTTCAGATTGTTTTTGTAAAATCTCCTATCTCAACATAAAAAAAGGATTTAAACACATACAAGACGCCTACATCAGCATATTTGGAATGACCAATGTTTACTAACGTTTTCTTCTATATATAACGCAGAACAAAATGGACAAAAAAACAAATTAAAATTAAAAATGGATTTTAATTTGTCTGTTTTGTTCTGCATTATATATGCCTGAAGACATCTGTTATATACAGATGAAAACATTAGTAAAAATTAGTAATTTGAGGTATGCTGGTGTAGATGTCTTGTATATGTTTACATTAATATATACCAGTTTTGGAAAGTTATTGAATAAAAAGGGGTATTTACAGTTTTGGGAATTTGTAATTAATGATTGAAAAATTTTGATGGTTTCATGCCAGTTTGATGGTGGCACAAATATCTACCTTTTGGCCAAATACTGATGATTAATTAAATTAGCCTTAATATAACTAAAAAACAATTTTGCAGTTTGCTGTCATCATGTTGGTGGAGTTGCTAATTCTGTTGAAAATCACCAAAATTCAATTTGGAAAGTAGATTTTATATGGAAAAAATGAAAATTAAACATTGAAAGAATACTCTCGGATATTTTTGTCTTTAGGAGAAAATATACTGGTAATATTTATGCATATATTTGACTATTATTTGATATTTTCTCCTGAAGAAGAGCCAAAAGAGAAAGCAATCTCAGGTTTTTCTTATGCTTTATATTTTAACACTAAAATTGCACCTTCACACACTTTTTTGGCTTACTAAACATTTATTGCTGAAAAGTGTGTGGACGGCATAATTTTTGTGCGTTATACATAAATTCCAGCTTATTTGATAAGTTCAGCTTTACATTTTCTTTAAATGTGATATATTGTGAATCAAATTACTGGCATAAATGCATTTATTAATATATTTAATATAATTTTAATTTGAATAAGCTATTATAAAATAATTACAAATAAATAAATTAAATTAATTTTAGATGTAGTAATCCTGGTAGCCTGTCTCTTGCCAAATTGCTTAATAATTATATATCCTTAATAGTGCAATAGAGTCCAGCTGTTTGTTTTGTTGTTTGAAATAATTATTGGGTTAAGTTTTATCTATTACGTATACTTATTGTGCTGGGTAAAAAAAAGCCGATTGAGAGCCACGGAGAGCCGTGGGTGCTAAGTTGCCCCTTTCGGCACCGTGGGTGATTGATATGATTAATCTAAATGATTTAATTAGACCGGAAGTGAAGATTAGATGGAGGTCCAGTTAGCGTAACTGGCAATGCGTCCACACAGTAAGCAGGAATTATGGCTTCGAGTCTCGCTCCAGGCCAATCTTTTCTTCCAGAATATTCTAAAATTAAATTATCGTAATTTATAATAATAATAATTNTTTTAATAGATTTATTTTGTTTGTGCAAAATAAAGAAATAATTTTTAACGATACAATAATCATGATTATTATTTTAAAAAAATTTTCGTTAGGCGTAACATTGACGAATATTCAATGCGAAGTGACACATAATAGAGAAAAGTTTCAAGATGGGATTGGTTAATATATTTTTTTGTACATGATTGGTTATCTGAAAAATAAGTTATCTGAATAACCCCAGTTTCGAATTGTTTCAGATAATCGATACTCTACTGTATATATATATAAGAAATATATGCACTAAAAGGAAGCAGTAGTTTGAAAAATTGTAACAAGGAAATGATGATGGCTTAATCGTCATCTTAAGGACAAATTGCATTGTTTAATCATTTATTAATTAACCTTGTTACTGCCTGAATGTAATCTGGTTCTAGTTTTAGTAATTTTAATTTATCAAATAAACTTTATGATTTTTATTCATTTATCTTGAGCATAAAATTGCTTGCCTGAAAATTTGAATAATTTTATTAAAGATACTTAAGTGTAAGGCTTTTGGCTTTATATATTTTCTTTGATTATATTTATCTAATATTAAAGCATGCTTATGAAAAGTGCATCAATTTTAGGATGTTAAATTACTCTGCATGTTGCTGGCATGGTCTTTTTCATTGTAAGAATAATACATGCTTAAATATTGGCATATGGTACAAACCAAGAGATAAAATTAAGTGATGTTCATAATGAAAAAAGTAAGTTGTATACATTTGTTAATAACTTTAATATACTTAATTATCTTCTTGACCTGTATGTGGCATGTTTATTGCTTTTCTTTATGTCTAATTATATTTAAAGTGCATAAGGCTAATTTGAAATTTAAAAGATTGAAATGACTTATATATGTTATTTAACGTAGAGCCATGGGTTTCGGAAGTGACGTTCGTACCAAATCTTCTCACGAAGCTTTAGTCACGCTGCAGGATGCAGAAATTCGTCTTCTGGAGAACATGAAGAGGTGTCTCGCTCTTCGAATAAAATGTGATCGAGAGTATGCGATAGGTCTGAATTCTGTTTATATTCATACTCAAAAAATAGATAAAACATCTGAAATGCTTGGAAACAGCATGATAACAAGGGTAAGTTATTAAATAATGTATAGAGTTCTTCACTGAATAATTATTTATATACAGGGAGACTATGCAAAATATACAATAAGATACAAATGTTTTCACAAGATAAATATACAAATATAATACATTATCAAGTGATCAAATGAAAAGTGTACTAAATAGAAGGTAAGGTGGCTTGCCAACACCATGAGACAGCCATGCTTGTTATGACCACATTACACATTGCAATAAATGCTTAAATTACGAACATTTATTTACTAAAGACCTTACAGTTATATCTCCAAATCTACTTTTCACAAGGAAACTTTTCATTTGATCACTTTGTATGAGGTGTGTGTATATGTAATATTGTCTGTCTAACTTGTCTAATCCATTATTATGTTCAGACTAGTATAAAAAGGAGACACAAGGGAAGTCAAAAAGTTCATGTTGAAGATGTGTTTANTGCAGATGTACTGGGTGAAAACAAAGTACTGGCTGACATTGTTAGCAGTGTAAATGTTTACTTAAAAAAAATGCTGAGAGGTTGTGAATAATAAAATGATTTTGCATATTTTACTTTATGATGTAATTTGTTTATTTTGTACACTTTGTATTAATACTTTATCCTCAGATAATGTAGCCATTTGTGTTTTAGATTTTCTGAATTATTAAATCAAAATAGGATGGAAGTTCATTTGATCTGAAAAGACAATTGAAATTATAATTATTACTTCTATCTTTTCAAAACAAACAATTATTAGAAGTAAAAAGAGATGTAATATTAGTGGAAAAAAATAATAAAACTGTAAACACGATAAAATTGTAGATGACTGCCTTATTTGAAAGATAAGTCCCAATGATAATATAAAGATAGCCAAAGTTTGAAAATTTTAAAAAATCCTAAAAAAACTAATGTTAATTAAATAGCTTGTGTATATTCATAATATTTTTTAACTTTAATGAAATAATATAAAATTATGTATACATTATGTGAATATATATTTCTTGAATGAAATACATATTTTATAATTGATATCTAAACATCATATAATTGAAATTCTAGTAGGTTCTGTGGAGTCGGAGTCATGGAGTTTTGGTGTTTTAGTCAGAGTCAGAGTCGTCAAAAAATCCGCTGACTCCTTTTTACTTACCAACTTGTTATGTATATGAAAGAGATACCATATAAATCTTTTATATTTGTAATTTTTACTCCAAAATGACCGTGGCCATCCATTTTACCTGAGTTTTCGGTTATCTGAAGTAATATTGCTCCACTTTACCTCAGATAATCAGGGTTCAACTGCATTTACTTGAAAAGAATATAAATTATTTGGGAATTGTGTTTTAATGAGTCTACTGTCGGAATCTTCATCAGACACTATGAAAAAACTGGTTTTATTATACCTGGATGCAGTAATGGCAGATTGCCAATGACTACTATCAGGAAAGACTGAATTTTGAATTGGCTTGTCATGATATATTACCCTAGTACATTTGTGGATGTTGCAGAACTATGGAACAAACAAATAGGTCAACCTGCATCTCGACAAACTGCTAGCAAGAGGTTACGTGATGGGTTACGGTTTGTACAAGAGTAAGCGAAAGTCTGTGTTGACACCAGTACAGCAAAAAAGGTGGTTTGTATGGGCTGAGGACCACTTATCTTAGACGGAAACTCAATGGCAGAGGGTTATTCAGTCTGAAGAGTCATTCTTTCCAATTCTATATGGAAATATTAGACTGTCATTTGCTGGCTGAATGAAGAACTCGCTCAAAACTCTGTGAAGCAGGAACTCAATTTTTCAAGCATGGTTTAAGGGTGGGGATATTTCGGGCATTCTGGCATTTGTTATTTGGTTTCTTTATGATGGGACTGTCAATATGCAATGTTACCAGACAATTTTGCAACAGCATTTACTGCCTTCCATAGCCTATCTTTGGTTGCAGGGACATACAAGAATGCTTTCAGGAAAATATGGAGATGCCTGTTACAGTGACTGAGCCAATTTTTTGTAAACTCTGGCTCAAATAGAGTACTTTTTTATTTATTAAACAAATTTTATTTCAAATGCAAATGAGTCCAGTTTTCCTACCATTTATAACAATCACTAATGGTGTGCACATATATTTATTGCCATGGCGAAGGTGTATAATATAATAATATACATTATATATATTATGGAATGTTAATACAGGGTGTTTTAAAATTGTCTTTACAACTTTGTAGGAGAATAAAAATTTATTCAAAGGACATGCACAAATTTAATCATATACATCAAGTTTCATTTACATAAACTTCTGCACCAAAAACTCCTACTGTAGCACGATCAGCCAGTGTGAAGATGGCTGTTTTCACAGGTATGGAGTGAGCTTGTATAGTTTGGTTTGAAGAAAAAAGTCTACTACACGGGTTTAAAAGAATTTCTGTACTAAGTATTGCATAATGAAGATGCCGTGGAACAAATGGAAGTCACATAGAGCCATAAATAAATTGATGGATGTTGAAGTGTTTACTACGTTTCAATGTTCTAAAATTATGTGTTTCTTCTATCAGTTCACTAATATTTTGTCCTCAAGTTGTAAAGCTATTTTTGAAACATCCTATATAAGCAGACAGAATTTACATACTATTTTAGATGTTAGCAGTTACATTTCTTTGTCTTTAATGTATAAAACTTATTAGGAAATATTTTTTTTTATTAATCTACTTATAGTTTTTGTTGTAAATTTGCTAGAAAAATTTACTTCTAGAATAAACTGAATTAATTTTGTTACAAATAATTAGGAAATATTTTTTTTTTTTGCTTAAACATATTCAATTTGCCAGATTATTTGTTTATAATAATAGAATTACGGTCCAAGGATCCNGGTGTATAATATAATAATATACATTATATATATTATGGAATGTTAATACAGGGTGTTTTAAAATTGTCTTTACAACTTTGTAGGAGAATAAAAATTTATTCAAAGGACATGCACAAATTTAATCATATACATCAAGTTTCATTTACATAAACTTCTGCACCAAAAACTCCTACTGTAGCACGATCAGCCAGTGTGAAGATGGCTGTTTTCACAGGTATGGAGTGAGCTTGTATAGTTTGGTTTGAAGAAAAAAGTCTACTACACGGGTTTAAAAGAATTTCTGTACTAAGTATTGCATAATGAAGATGCCGTGGAACAAATGGAAGTCACATAGAGCCATAAATAAATTGATGGATGTTGAAGTGTTTACTACGTTTCAATGTTCTAAAATTATGTGTTTCTTCTATCAGTTCACTAATATTTTGTCCTCAAGTTGTAAAGCTATTTTTGAAACATCCTATATAAGCAGACAGAATTTACATACTATTTTAGATGTTAGCAGTTACATTTCTTTGTCTTTAATGTATAAAACTTATTAGGAAATATTTTTTTTTATTAATCTACTTATAGTTTTTGTTGTAAATTATGATGATTTTAAAATAATATAAAAAATAGTTCTGATATTATTCAAAATTCTTTGAAGACTTGGAATGTTATAGCAGAAGAAACTGGAGCCTTAAGTAGACTGATGAAACAGAATGCTGACTATTTAGCATTGAATACAACCGAAGCATTAAATAATTTCATTACAGAAAAACAAGCTTTGAAAAAATTATATGTCGACGAACACTCGCGCATGCACGGCGAACTTCAAAGAGTGAGGTCTTCTTTGATAAAGATTTTTACCAAAAAGATTCATATAATATCTGTATTAAATTATGAATTTATTGTATTTTTACAGATGCAAGATGGAGTTATCAAAACCAAGAACAACTACGAAAAGTATATAGATTTATGGAAAATTGCTAAGAAGAAATATGAAGAACAATTTTCAAAAAGTAAATAAAATAATGTTTATATTTAATATTTGATGAAGTAAAATTTATCAAAAGTGTGGTAATTTTTTAACAAATAATGTAATACTTAAGCATTGGTATATTCCAGTATGCATCAGTCTTGCCCACAACCGATGCACCGGTGAATAGTTTGATAATCTTTTACCAGAATATCTGACAACCCAACAAGATGGTGGAAGCAAAGATGCTATATTGGAATTTGCAGACTTGTTTTGTCAAAATAACTTTGGGTTGATACAGACAAGTAGTAAAAATGGTGTTAAAAATATAATCACGGAGGAGGCCTTATCACCTCATCAGAGATTATCATATCGGCAGCCTGACGAGTGCAATGTGATTCGATGACGAGTGCATCGGTTGATGAACCAACAAACTCGTCAATGAATATTGGAACACATTTTTGTACGTTGCAGTTCACCGATACACTGTTTGATGCATACTGAAATGTACCATTACCATTTTCATCAGTACAGTGGGTGATCAGTTAACGAACAATTCGGATAGCGAACAAAGTCTTGGAACGGATTATGTTCGTTAACCGATCACCCACTGTATATCATTTGCTTTTAATATAACATAACATTCAAGATATGTGATGACGAGAGTCTAAAAAAACATTTTATCTTATCTAATAAAGGACTCCTTATCCTCTTACCAATTGGTGTGTTTAATAATAATTATATTACAATATGCAACTATTTTCATTCTGTCAGAAAAAATTTGTATAATTTATATTAAATTATAAAAAATTGTAAAAATTATAAAACATTTGTATAATTTAATATAAATTATACAAATGTTTTCTGACAGAATAAAATGTTTTTTGAGACTCTCGTCATCAGATATCTTGAATGTTTAAAATTTTTATGTTATGCCAGGAATAGCTCTGGAATATATGTTTAAGTTAGTTTAAGAGAGCCAACGATAAGACAGTCTCAGAAAACATTTATCTTAAAAGGGCTTTTTATCTTCTTAGTGATTGGTATGTTTAATTTTTTCCCTATAGAGTCAGTAGATGAGCCTACAGCAGTAATAGCTAAAAGGAGGCATAAAATAGCTTTTGAAATAATTGTACATTTACACAGAATTGACAACAAATTTGTAAAACATTTTTTTTTTCATAACATCATTTAGTTTTTTGTAATATTTACACTTTTTTAGTTCTTGATTTATGTAAGTTAACTGGAAAAAGTATAAATACAAACTAAAGCATTTTGTATTTAAGTCTTAATTATTATACAAATTTATATACAAATGTTGTGATAATGAAAGTGTACTGCAAACTAAATTCTTATCACTAGTACAGTATTATAGCAATAACATAGTGGTTAAAAATTAACAAATATTAGATTATACAATGAAGAGTCTTCTATGTCCTTGTTCAAACCTGTTATTTTCTTGAGCTGTGAACAAGGACAGACGATTCTTCATCGTATATTCTAATATTTGTTTTTTACAATTATTTTTCCTGGCATTTTTTATTA